GATGGAGGAGGCACTCCATTCCTGCTTCTCCCTCTGGGCACCGTCCCAGTCAGGGCCTCTGCAGAGACAAAGGTGCAGATGTGGGTGGATCTGCCCTTCCCTGAAGTCCCTGGAGGAAGCTGCTCCCACCACCATCTAAAACACAGAATGTTTTAACCTCATTGGCGCTGCTTGTAAAACTTCCTCCCCTCACTGCTGTGCACATCCCTGTACCAGTTTTTTGAAACCAGAGAGTATTTTATGTTTGGCTCTTTCCTAAAGGGTTAGAGGTGAACCAGTTGTCAACAGACAGCTAAGTTTTCTCCCAAAGCAGCAAAGAGAGGATCATGGGCCCATGCACGAAGCAGAAATGAGGTCAAGCAGTCCTTGTAAACAAAAGGCACTGAGGCACCACAGGATCCACTCAGTAGAAACTATGCGGGGTAGGGGTGAAGGGTGCGTGAAGATCCTCAGAAAGGAGCCACAATGAAATGCGGTCGGTGAAGCAGAATCAGTGAACCTGGGAATTATAACCATCAGTGCTGGCTGAAACAAAAACAATGATGCTGGAGTGGCACAGGAAGAGCACGGTGGTGGCCGGTCTTCAAGGCAGGAGGAAGGAGAGGCAGGTGTAAGAACCGTCTGCACGTGGCCTCTCTGACCAGCCAGTGTGAAGAGCTGTGCCCCTTGATGGAAACGCCCTTCGGGGGGAAGGTGACCCGGAGCCCATGACAGGCTCTATGGAGACATCCGAAGCCATCCCACTCCCCTGCTCTGGTCCCTCACTCACGGAGGAAACTGCTGTTTTGAATTTGGTTTCTCCTGGAGCATTTCCTACGGGGAGATAACTTGCTAGTCTGACGATCTGCATATTCAATGACCTCGCAGGGCGCGCATCTCATGATGACTTAGTAAATGCGCACTCCAGTTGTGTGTGTGTTCTTTAATCTCTTTTGAGTCTGGCAAGTGTGAATCAGTTCACTGGGATTATCTGAACAAGATGAAGCAACAGATCTAATTTTGTTTCTCAATGTCTAAAGCCAGAGGCCAGACGGTGGGCCGTGGCCTCAAAGAGGCACTGTCCCACTCTGCACAGCTTATGAAAATAAGAAGATGACTTCTGCCTGCTGACAACGCCACATAATTATTCTTATTAGGGTTGCCATCCCTCATACCGAGTAGTAACCCCATCATAGTACCCCAGGCGTGGCTGCCTCACTGGGGCTCCGTGATGACACTACACTCTCTCCAGCTGAAACCTGGGTTCACGCCGTCTTCCTGGGACATAGGTATCCACAGAAGACAGCTGCCAGTGGTTGAAGTAATGGTGACTGCTGTGGTGGGGACATCCTTTGTCTCAGAAAACGGACAGAAGTATGCAGATTAGACATTCCTGATTCCACTCGTCCAAAGCTAATTACGCTGTGTCTACTGGGTCAACTTATGTGACATCGTTTTAAAAGCTGAACAGCACAGGAGGCCAGTCACAAAGTGAGGGGGATCAGTGTAAGTATTTGCCTGGGGTGTCTTCTAGGCAGAGAGGTCAGAGGGCATGGCATGGGTAAGTGTCCTCACCGCCCGTGGCAAGTCCACCCTAGCCATCCAGCCTGCCCTAACACCCTCTTCTCCATAAGATCTTTCTTTGTTTTTCGGTCTGCAGACATTCACTGTGTTTCTCTCCACAACATGTTGTATCCCTGGGCATAATTTAGGCAAGTGATCGTTAAAGAATCTCCTTGAAGTTGCGAGTAGAAAGGCAGCCTACCGGATCACAAAATCCAGTTCGGTTCACATGGCGCTGCTCCTCATCTTGATGAGGCAAATGTATTTCTTGGCTGAGTCAACCTCATCAGACTAGACACCCACACACTCATCACAGTGTCCAGCCCACTCCATCCTCATTCCTTCCCAGTAGCTTAAGCTGCAGGCAAAGATGTTTTTTGCCAGTCCTGATCCCCAAAGGAAGAGTCCTGGCAGGGTAAGGGCCCGTCAAAGTGTTTTTAAAAAATGAGCATCCTTGACAGGAAAAAATATTTCTCCTTCCAAGTGATGGATAACAGAAATGAGTGTGGAGATCAAAAGAGAACCAATTCATCAAGGATCTGCACTGACAAAATGAAGAATGTCTGCATGGCATGCGGAGAGGGGAAAATGTGGTGCCTGCCACGGCTACTGTTGCTGCAATCTGATACCTCAGCGTGACAGGTTTATCAAAGGAAGATAATCAGGCTGCACTCCAAACAATGACAGAGGCTAACAGCTTTCCCATTATAGGTGACACGAGGAACGAGGGGCTCTGCCCTGGTCTCCGTGGGACAGCTGGACTTCCAGCCTCCAGAACTGTGAGAAATAAATGTCAGCTGGCTAAGCCACCAGGCCATGGTATTGCGTTAGAGCAGCATGAGCTGACTAAGGCACTGCTCAGTTTTAAGCTGCTTGTCCCAATAATGCAGCACCTCCTCATGGCCACCCTGATACATCCTGTCCCGACGCCAAGACTTCAGGGAGATAATTAAATATAAATTACACATATAGAAAGAATCTACAGACATTAGCGCAGACCAGCGCAGCGGTTCAAGATTCAGAACAGATGTCAAGACACAAGTAAGTAGAAGGCCAGATCATTTCTCTAAGTCTTTCACACTCAAGTTGGGCAAGGATAACAATTGCAGTTGAGGGCTCAGGGAGCCAAGTAAATAACGTAGGGCCCGTGGCCAGTGTCTGCTCACCCAGGACCCACAAGTATGGTATGCAAAACTGTACGTGTGTGAACTTACTGGGGAAGAGGGCCCAGAGCTTTCATTAGATTCTTAAAAGGGTCTAGAACCCACCTCCCCCCACACAAAGGAAGAAACTACTGCAGAAGGTGGTCAGCAAGCCTTGGAGCCAAAAGCACTATATAAATGCAATATGTTAGTTTTGTGGCTCAGATGAATCTGGCCTTTCCCTAATTCCATAAGTGGGAGCCCTTCAGGCCAAGTATATGATAATGGATAAATTCTCCCGCGAGAACGGCAGGAATCTGCGGGAGCTGTCAGCTGGATCTATGCCTTGCTGTAAAACCTGCCCAGATGAACACAAGCTGTAGAAAAACCATTTGCTTCCCAGATAATGAGACAAAACCAACATGGGGGGGGTGCATTTCCAGCCTTCCCTGAGGATGCCACCGGCAGACTCCAATCACAATCCTTCACAGCCTCTCACTGTGCACAGCGGGCTCTATCAGTTACGAAATGTTCCCTTCCTTGGGGAGGATAAGGAGGAGAAATTCACTTCCTATCCATTACAGACACTCAGCCTAAACTCACCCCAAAAGCATGTTCCAAAGAAAGTCTTTCAAAGTATCATTGCAAAAAAAAAAAATGTAACTTCAAAATAACTTTACAGTGGACTTTACAGCAAAACAGAACATAACAACGAAAACACCCAAATTGATCATCTGAAAATAACTGCAACAAGCCTTTGACCTATGATGGCATTTCCTGGGTCATGGAGATAAGAAATGGGGGAATTCAAAGGCTAAATTTTGGTTTTGATCACATTTTTCTTATTGTGATAAGTGTTGGAGATGTCATATTTTCAGAGAGGGTTGTATCTCCAGAAAAGCCGAGGTGATGCATGAAAGGATGCTCAGCATCACTGGCCATAAGATAAATGCCAATCATCCATTGACATAGGACTGGATAAAGAAGTTGTGGTATATGTATACAATGGAATACTACTCAGCCATAAAAAAGAATGAAATCATGCCATTGGCAGAAACATGGATGGACCTAGAGATCATCATGTAAGTGAGGTAAGCCAGACAGAGAAAGCAAAATACCATATGATATCACTCATATGTGGAATCTTAAAAAAAAAAATGAAGGAAAGAGGATACTAATGAAGTCATCTACAAAACAGAAACAGACTCACAAACATAGTAAACAGTCTTATGGTTACTGGGGAAAGGGGGTGGGAAGGGATAAATTTAGGAGTTTGAGATTTGCAAATGTTAACCACTATATATAAAAAAAGATTTAAAAAACCCCAAATTTCTTCTGTGTAGCACAGGGAACTACATTCAGTATCCTGTAATAACCTTTAATGAAAAAGAATATGAAAATGAATATACATATATATATGCATGACTGGGACATTGTGCTGTCCACCAGAAATTAACACATTATAACTGACTATACTTTAATTAAAAAAAAATGTAGAGGGCCAAAAAGAAAAAAAAAGATAAATGCCAATCAAACCCACAATGAGATACTGTTTCACACTAAGGACAGCCATTACCAAAAAATGGAAAAGAAGTGTTAGCAAGGATGTAGAGAAACTGGACCCCGGGCAGTCATTGTTGGGAATGTAAAATGGTGGCATTGCTTTGGAAAATGGTATGACAGGTCCTCAAGCAGTTAAACATAGAATTACTATATGACCCAGCAATTCCCTTTCTGGATCTACAGCCAAAAACACTGAAAGCAGGACTCAAACAGATACTTGCACACCTGTGATCATCACAGCATTATTCACAAGAGCCAAAATGTAGAGCCAATCCAAGCGCCCATGGATGGATGAATGCATCAACAGAAGTTAGTCTACACACGTGATGGAATATAATTCAGCCTCAAAAAAAGGATGGAATTCTGAACATGCTACAACATGGATGAACCTTGAGGACATTCTGCTAAATGAAAAAAAAACAGGCAAAAAAGGACAGATACTTGATGATTCCACTTATGTGAAACACTGAGAGAAGTCAAATTCATAGAGACAGAAAGCAGAATGGCGGTTACCAGGGACTGGGGGCAGGGGCTCGGGGAGAGTGTTGGATACGGACAGGTTCCAGTTTGCGAAGATGAAGTTCTGGAGATGGCTGGTGCTGACGGTGTGGGTACGCTTGATGCCACGGAATTGTACTCTTAAAAATCGTTAAAATGGTAAAGTCTGTGTGCCAAGTTAAATGTGCATTTTGCTACAATTAAAAAAATAATAATAAAAGGGATAACGAAGCCAAGGCGGCAAGCCATACTTACAAGATGTAGGCAATCACCCCGATGGACCAGCAGTCAACGGCTTTGCTGTAGGGTTTCTGGGCCAGGACCTCCGGAGCTGAAAATGACAAAGGAGAGACATAAGCTGACCATTTAAAGGACTCAGACGTACGGAGGCTGTGTTTTGCTTCTGGTGTCTGCTACTCGGGCTGAACTTCCCATGATTCTACCAACAGAGGAGACGGATACAATCTGATGTATCTGTCGGCTTTTCTAACTAGAAAAAAGTGAGTATCTGTGTGTGTGTGTCCGTGTGTGTGTGTGTGTGACTGGAGGTTATCAGTCAATCAACAAACATTTCGCAGGAGGCTGTTTCATGCCCGGCTAAGCGCTACAGCTCAGACCAGAGAGAGAGAGAGAGGAGGGCATTACTCAGTTCGGGGCCTGGGGTGTGACTTCACCTCGAATCAATTCAAGGAAGCATCTCCGGCCCAGGTGTAGAGCCTTCCTAGGTGCTGCAGGGACCAGAGACTGAAGCCCCCGCCCTCTGCCTTCCTGGAGCTTCAAATCAAGGTTAGACCTAAAATCTGGTCCCTCGGCTCCTGCGTTAGGCCTGCTCTGAGTTCCTGCTCTAAGGTTTGAGGGAGGTCATCCATCAGTACTGCCATCTTGTTTTCTCATCTGTGAAACAGGAAAACTGCTATTTAATCTCACTTCCCCGGTCCTAACCCACTGCTCATCAGGCATCATCCGTCCAGGGCTGGGGCTCCTTTTGCACTCTTCCCACACTTCCCACTCCTGGCCTGTGGCCAGCGCCCAGGGCTGGACTTCCACCCGGTGTCCGGCGCCCAGCAGTGTCTGCCAGACATATTTGTGTAAAGAGTAAATAAACACAAGAAACACAGGAAATCTTCAGAAGTAAAATCTCCTTTCCATGCAAATACGTCTGATTGAAGTGTCTAGCATGGACTTCCCGGAAAATTGAAGAAGGCAGAGGTAGTAACAGTAGAGCTTACAAGGCACTTGGCAGAGGCTGAGTTGGGTGAGTTGGAAGGCAGCAACTCATCACAACTGCTCTTGGTGAACAGCTGAGTTACCGTCACCATCACGATTCCCAAGTTCCAGGCGAGGGTGTGCAGGGACTCAGGTCAAGTGACCCACCCACAGGACCCAGGTGTCAGCGGGCCTCTACGCTGCCGCCCTGACCTGACCCGAATTAGGTGCCTGCCATGGTCTGGGTCATTCATAAGCCTTCTTACTGCCATCCTTTCAGCAGTTCTGACAACCACCGTTACCTACATCTGATCAATAAGGCAAATGGGCCGAGAGAAGTGCCTTTGCGGACACCACACAGAAGACATGGACCAGCTCGGGCTGAGAGTAACTCAGTCTCACCCTGTGCCAGCCCCTTCTACTGGAGTCTCCTGACTATTAAGGTGAGAGTTTCTGCAAGAAGAGCCTTTTCGCAGAAAAACTAACAGGGAAATCCCCTCATTCTGTGGCAGATGAGTACCTTCCGGAGCAAGAACATGGACATATACAAACTGTTGTTGGATGTTTCTGGTTCTGGTGGCAAGAGATACAATCCACAGATAGTCCCCAAATCTCATTTTAGGTTTCAGCTCCAGTTCCTCTAAACATCCCATCAGGCTTTTGTTTTTTTTAATTTAACAAGAACAAAATAAATAAATCTGTACATCTTATCTTTGCTTTGTTTGCCCTCAATGCAGTAGCAAAAGGAGAGAGAGCTACGAGGCCAGGGAACCCCCACTCTGAAGAGGGGCCTCGGACAACGGGGAGCGGGCTGCCTGCTTCGGTGCCTCCTTTCCCCTGTAACTGCTAGGAGCATTCTTCTCGATGCTTCTATGACAGCAGCTGATCAAAGGGAGCCATTTGCCACAGTAACTGGCTGATTTAGGAGGCAGGTGCTCTCGGAGCCGACGTTCTGCTCTGAGCAGCCACACGTCACAGATAGTGGGAGGTGACTGTTTCTGCAAGGAGCACGTTTCTGAGCCTGCAGGGTCATACTCATGGCCTGATAGAAAGCTCAGAAGAGGCAGAGAAGGCTCACAGAGCAACATCTGCCCCAGCTCCACCTCCCAGCAAAGCAGAGAGCAGAAGGCAGGAGCACCACACCAACCTGGGGGCCGAGGCCCTGGCTCCCGCATCATGGGGTCTGCAGGGTTCTATGCGGAGCTGGGGAGACAGTTCGGCCCAAACACTCCATGGAGCCAAGTGTCAGAGGGTATCAAGGCACTCGGGACTCAGCACAGGACTTAAAGCACAAACTAACATCACGTACCTGGCGACAGTGACAGACACACGGGGAAGGAGCTTGGGGAAGGAAGCTGTCAGCACCTTTGACAGCTGATACTGTGGCTTATGAGCAAAGATGGGGCCGATTGGTCCCCCGAGGCACGACGTATGGAGGGGGCCTGGAGGGTAAGACTCGGCCCCTGTAAAGCAAGTATCTAGGAAGAGCCAATCCTCAGCGTTCTCCTGAGCTCTCCAGCCTCACAGTTTGTTCTGCGGATGTGGGAGGAAGGATTCTTTAAAAAAAAAAAATCCTCCTCTTTGTCATCAGCTGTTAGAAAGCAGAAAGTCCTGGCCACCATCCATTGTTCAGCAAACAAAGAATAAAGAACACGGTTTCCCTCCTAAAATCCACACACCTAGGGGCACTGGTGTGTGAAGCCCTTTGCCTTCAGTCTGTCTGGCACATTCGCCAGCATTTTGGAGAATCAGAAGATGGACTGTAGATGCTTGAAAAGCAAGTCACTGATTTTGATGCAACTTGGAACTTGGATTTACTCTGGACATTTAGGGTCTTGAAGCCACAGATAACACTGAGATAATTTTTTTAAATATAAGATTTTTGTTTAAATGGTAAACTTTCTAACATCAAGTATATGATTATTTAATAAAAAGATTTCTGATTTAGGGGAAAATTCTAAATGATTTAACAAACACCAGGGTATCCACACTGGGGGTGAAACTGCGGACTTGTGCCAAACATTTCTTGTTCTTTTTGGTGTTGTATCTTATCTGGAGCAACAACAACGAAATAGAAACATTTGTTAACTGACTGGAGGCAGGCCAACCATTTGCCATGAGATGAGGTTCTTAATTGCATCTGAAACGCATCCAGGGGTGAAGCCAAACGTGCAATGTCGTGATTAAAAAGACAAAAAGCAAACTGACTTGAAATAAAATTCTCACCAACTTGAAATATTTTAAAAATGGTATCACGGCGCACACACACACGGCCTGCATTCTAATCTCTCTTGTGATAGGATTCCTGGAACCAAGTGTTTTTTGGGACATTGTTTCAACAATCCCACCTACATCCTAACCCCCGCTAGCTTTAAATAGCTAACTTCTTATCTCATAGTAATTCTTGAAAAAAAAAAATCTCAGGCACGATTCAAAACCCTCCTGACCGTTTGAGACGGCCTCGATACGCTGACCAGGTCACAAAGGACCCCCGAGATCAGCAGGGATGTTTCCCCCTCCCCGTCTCCTCCCAGGCCCTGCCGCTGCCGCCACTGTCTAGCCAACCTGTTGCCACCGGGGGTTTCAGTCCTCTGCCTATGTGCCCTTGACCCCTTTCAGCTCTGGAGTAGCAGGTGGTGCTGGGAGAATCCCCTTCTCTCTCATCTTTTCAGAGACCACTTTTCCCTTTGAGAACCAGCCAAACTCCCTCACGTTATGTCATCCATCTTATACCAGTTGGGCAACAATTCAGCTGTAATTCCAAAAAGTCACAGCATCCAATTTACAAACTTTCAGACAACAGAGGAGGCCCAGAGCCCAGTCCATTTGGAACCTGGGAAGGTGATAAGGGTCCTCTGTACCGCCACCACCATTCCATCTCTCCCCCGGCACCGTCAGCAGATGCTGAAGAATTTCTTAATCAAGGAGAAATAATGTTCTCTTCCCACTGTACCCATCACGACTCGTGCGGAGTGGGAGGTTGGCAATGGCTCTGGCCACCCCCACACCTTCGAATAGAGGGAGGCTTTGAGTCGAAATAACTTAATTGGAGTTAATAACAAAGAGAGCAGTCATTCTAAGGCACTGTGGTTGTCTGTGATGCCATCGGCCCCCAGGCAGAGCAGGGAAGGGCTTAGTTTCCTGGCACAGCCATAACATGAGGGAAAGATTCAAGTGGACAGGACACATGTGTTCCTCCCATTCATTTCAAGGCCTGGTCCCTGGGGGCCATCAGTGGCCATCAGTCGCAGTAGAGACCCATCCACTGGGAGGTGTTGAAGGGATGAATACAAGAAAGGTGGCAGGTCCAACCTCCTGCCTGCCCTGTAGGCTGGGCTGAAGTCAGCCTTTCAGAGGGGGAGAGAATAGAGTGGGGTGAGGGCAGCTCAACCTGGGTGACATGCGTTGGGCATGACAGCTGGGTTCCCAGGTCCAGTCACCAAAATCCTATAACACATTAGCTCCTGCACGCCCCCACTGTTCCTTACACACCCCTTTATGTAGCAATGGCCCACAGTCGAGCCCTAGGCTTCGTGCGGCTGGAGGGCAGGGAGACACCTCTAGCCTGGATTTGCAAAGAGCAGAACTTCCTGATTGTTCACTAAATGGAGATTCAACTACACCCAACCTTCTCAATACACACACCGCTTTTTCTATAAGAAAATGTTTTCCAAATTCAGACAACTGATTTAAAAATAAACTTAGCTGCCTCAAATATTTTCAGTGAATAGGTACAGGAAAAGACAGAAAGGGTGACAAATGAACTTTGGGAGGGACTGTATTAGGTACAGGTGAGATCGATTGTTAAATACATGTCCTTAAGCAAATTATTTCCGACATGAATTTGGGGGATAAAAGAGGCAGAATTAGCCCTAATTCTCTGTGTGTGGATGTCTGTAATTCATGCTGCTTTCCTTTTAAAAGTTTTCCTCAAAGAGATTTCAGAATGACTAGTTTTAGGGCTAAACAGCAGAAAAGATACTCTGTTAAATGATCTCTCAGAACTTCCTTCCTGGTCAGATCTTGGGGGCCATTCATTCCATTTTCTTGATTATTCCCCATAGAAACAGTATCCCATCAGCCTGTTTAATTTACACCAGTAAACAGAATTTATCTCCATGTAAA